GAAGACTACCAATTAATGTATCTTCAAATGCTCGACCACCACCTGATGATCCAAAAGGATTTTGTATAGAACGATTAGATGTTGTTTTTGGATGAGATAATCGAAAGATAATCTTAAAAGAAAAAATGAACATCAAATAATTCAATAAAATATTATTATTTTCTTTTAAAATAATATACTCGAACAAGTGCTGGCCATTTTGCTAGATATTTTAATACTCCAATATATGTAATAAGTTCAGTAGAAAAATAATCAAGTGGTTGAATCATTTTATATATATAACGAAAGACAGAATTATAAAGATTTTCAATTTCATCGGTTATTTCTGATAAAAAATCATTATTAATACAATCAATATACTCATATAAAAGTGGATTTTCTAAATTGATTAAAAAATAAAAAAAAAAAATTTATTTTTATAAAAATCTACCTTGACCATCAATTAATAATTCTAACCATTGTTTAGATAAATCTTGACCATCATATAGATCTGGTAAACTAATTGCTGTTTTTGTATGATCAATAAATAATTTTCTAATATCTTCAAATACTAATTTAAAATGATTCTATAAAATAAATCTTTATTTTAAATCAAAAAGAATAAAACAAAAACTTACACGTTGTCGTAATAATCTTTGATAACATCCAACTAAATAATGTATACAACGATTTTCAGTAATCATATTTATATCATTTCTTATTGTTGATTTTTTTGTTATTGATGTTAATAATTGAGTTGATGGATCTATCATATGAAGACGTTCAAATAAAGCTTGATCAATAAAATTTTTATCGAAATTTTCAGGTAATTCTATAGCTAATTCAGCTAAATAGATAAGTGATGATGATGGTTGTTCATCGATGGTACATAGAAGAACATCTTCAAGAATATCTTTATAAATATTTGTAGTCGAAGAAGAAGAAGAAGAAGAATCATTATCGATTGAAACTACTTTTGAAGATGCTGTTGAATATGGATTTGTTGAAGTTGATGATGAATCAGATAGAATTAAAAATGGATTTGACATTGTTAATAATGAAATACGAAATGAATGATGACGATGCCGATGAGTTATATTTATAAGAGAAACAGAACAAGCTTTTTGATTCGTTTAAATCGTCGTTTTATAATATATAAAATTTCTAACGAAAAATAGATGTCACTAGAATATAGTTTAATAACTTCCTCTTGTTAAAGTTTCTCGGAAATGGACTCAATGAAAAATTATGAAACTTTCAATGCAAACAGATCTTGATAAGTAGAACATGAGTTGTCATAAATTCAAAATTTCTAAATATATTTTCGAAGAAAATCATAGTGAATGGAAATTTTAAATTGAGGGATTTGTGGTTTCTTCTCTAACGAGGGAACCTATTCAACTGTCCAATCGCTTTTGAGTTCGAACTCA